CTCTCTCTCTCTCTCTCTCTCTCTCTCTCTCTCTCTCTCTTCAGGACACATAGAATCAATCTTTCCTCTAAAGAAAAACAAGAAATAATGGCATTTTTGTATAGAAGTGCACGTAATTTCATGTTTCATTAGAGAGTGTTTTTTAAGGCCACTTGTGATTTTGGTAGCTTTGCAAAATTAAGCTGGAGAAAGGACAAACGTTTTCTCAGGGCCTCTCCCACCAAACCCAGCAAGCCTGCACTGCGGTGCCCATCACATCCCGACGGATGCCTGCATACGCCGGCATTTGCCTGAACCCCCACCTCACAGCCTGTTGCTGCCACCGCCCCTCATGGGGCATTAGACAGCTAAGTGATGCTCACAGCCCACACACCGCTCAGCTGGGGATGTTTCCAGGAGCTATTTTTCCTTATTAAGCATTATTTTACCAAAGCCATGAGTTATAAGACTTTAAACTTCAGCAAATCTTTCAGGTCTTTTAATAACTCAGTTTTCCACGACTATCATCAAACTGTGGCACAATGAGTGAAAAACATATTTTGTTCATAAACAGCTCTTCCTCATTCATAAAATAAAGAGCCAATGTCTCATACTGTTTGTTCTCCGCAGCTCACATCGAATGACATCATAAATTTCTGTCAACCAAGCTCGCTGGAACACAGTGAGGTGAATACCTCCCTGCTTGTAAACAGCCGCCTTAATTCTTTCCTTCCCTGAAACAGGAGTAAAGGAAAGACCTCAGCCTCCACCGGTAGTGAACAGGTTAGGAAATGGAGGGCCCATCCCTATCAGGAAAATGGTTTTGCCAGAGTCCTTATCAAGTGGATTATGCCAGAAAGAAAGTGATCATCATGGGAGTAGGCAAGTCAGCCTTACCAACTGCACAGGACATGATTTTTCCATTTCCTGATGAACCCAGAGGTTGTAGGGTGACACCCGTAGCAACAGTTCCTCTCATACCAAAAGCGCCTGGTAAAGCACACTTTCTAGACACCGGATGTGTTCCTGGGGATGCCAGAGAGCTCCCTGCAGCTGGCAACCTGCAGGTGCGTGGACTTACACAGTAAGATGCTGTCCCTCGGGCCATCGGTCAGAATTTAGGGACACAAGCTGCCCAGTGCGACTCCATCCATCACCTCTCTTCCCCCTTTTCTTGCTTTCTTCATTATCCAACCTCAAAATAAAAAAGAAAACAAGCCCAGGCGCGGTGGCTCACGCCTGTAATCCCAGAGTTTGGGAGGCCGAGGTGGGAGGTTCACAAGGTCAGGAGTTCAACACCAGCCTGACCAACAGGGTGAAACCCCATTTCTACTAAAAATACAAAAAATTAGCTGGGCATAGTGGCACGTGCCTGTAATCCCAGCTACTCAGGAAGCTGAGAGAGGAGAATTGCTTGAACCCGGGAGGGAGAGGCTGCAGTGAGCTGAGATCACACCACTGCACTCCAGCCTGGGCGACAGAGCGAGACTGTCTCAAAAACACACACAAACACACATACACATACACACACACACACACATACGAAAACAAGATGCTTGGTCAAGCCAATCCCAACTACTGAGACTTTATGCCTCATGCTTCTGTGTACATGGCAGGAATCTCAACAGAAAGGAGGTGAAGAAGCGCTCCGTGGACAGACACCAGCAGACCAGGCTCTGAGCATGATTTGCTTGCTTCGGAAACAAGGTAGCCCTCCCAAGACAGAGAGAATTTAAGTAGAGGAGATTCATGAAAAGAAAAACATTGCCCAGTTAAAGCATGGCAGTGAATAAACAGCAATTTTAATTGGCTTATTTTTCTGCATTCAAAACATTAGACACTTATTCATTCAATCTTCTCTTAAAATTAAT